AACAATGATATGGCAATGAACACTTATGGGAAAGTCGATGACTGGTTGACTTCTCTTTGGATAATAATTTTTGAAGACATATGATTTTATAAGCTTTACTCTAATAAAGTAGCAAGCCTAGCAATCTCTCTCTTTAATGCGTCTATCTCTTTCTAATGATTTTGCTCGAGTAGAGCCCTATTTCATTCTCCATCTTTTCTCTTGCTCTATTATGGTAAATACATGAGGGAAAGCAGTTTTCATAGGTTGACCTATGTTTTTGCTCAAACAAAAAGACAACAAACACAAAGTATAAACAATATATTAAAAATAAAATGACACTTGAGACTCGAATATGGAATAGTCTTATCATAAAGGGTTACATAAGGACTTCATTGTTGCTTCTTTGATGACTTGAGATTATCTCGAAATACTTCAAATGTAAACTCTTATTTCACTAATAACCTTGAGATTTTTATCGGAGAACTTACTTTATGGGCTATCGATTTAAAGATGAAATTTTATCTCATCAATGACCTTTTTTTTTTTAAGAAATAAGTTCTGTCTTGAGAAAGAAATGATCTCATCATAGATTTCTTTGAATCCGAGGAAGTCATTCTCTTTATAAGTGTGTAGTTTGAAATAAATCATTTTTTATCTAGCAATCGAATAATCGACAAGCATATTAGGCATATTACTTGTTAGCGTTCGGGTAAAGATTGATGGATTCAAAGACGTTGTTAGCAAAAGGCATCCTTATTTGATTATTATTTCATTAATGAGAAGATAAATATCACCTATGACATATGAAGAAAGATGTCAAAGCTTTTATTAACCAAAACCGAGAATCTAAGCACAAAGCCCGATTTGATTACGGTACATCTTCTTTTACATTTTGAAATGAGAAAATACATTCAAGAGAAAAGAAAGCAAAATAATGTACCTACATCTTATATCATACTCTAAAGACCTTTTTTCATCTAGTCGTCTCAAACAACAAGTTGTCACATCTCCTCAAATATATCATGAAAGGCTCCCGGGGTTACTCTATCCTCATTCACTAATGCTTCGCCTCTCGAGTAACCATATTGGCTTCATTATTCATCCCGGTTAGATTTTTGTTGTGCTCTTTGCTTACTTATAATGTGATTATGCATGTTAGACCGATATACGGATTGTCTATGCTTCGGTCCGCCTTCAACTATCGATTGTCCTTCTCAATCTTCTTTCGAGCCTCTTCAAATTGTTTTACCAATCCTTTTTTATTATTGCATTCCACTCTAATAAAGTTGCTAGGTTGACATTCTTCTTTGAAAGCTCTTCTATTTCTATTTTTCGAACACCTAACTTATGGTTAACTTGGTCATACCGAAGTTACGGATCATTAAAATTAGTGGATTTCAAGGACAACTCCATTTGAAATTGGTGACAAAGACTCTTCTAGTTATCTTCCTCGACCGTTATATCTTGCCATGTATGTAGCTCGACCTTCATACCCCTTATGTCATTCTCAACCTCTTTTCTTTTTTTTTCCTTGGCCAAGTTACTTATTAGCTTCAATCTCTCAACTTTGAGGCATTCAATCTCCTTTTGCATTTCATCTTTAACGAGCATGACTCTTGCGTTATCATTTTCTTCTCTCCCTCCCTTTTTGAGGGTTTAACCCGAAATTTCTTCAAAAGACACTTGAGAAATGCCCTGTTTTGATGAAACCATCGATAAGAGTACGCTTGGTTAAGTTCGGGTGGGTCAAAGGCTTATAAGTTTTCACCATCGTTGATTGTTATATAGGATACCTTTCGATGGTGGCTCTTTCTAGACCGACTATTTTTGGTGCAACCTTCCTTGCACTAACCACTCTTCCTTGATGATCTATAAAAATTCAAGCAAGGTATCTCTTTTTAAATTTCTTTCAAATTTAACAAGACCATTTATCCTCGGTATGCATTGCTCATAGCCCAACTGACGGGATACTTGACAAATGCATAGTTTGTGTAACTCTGTTGCTTTAATAAGAGGATGGGCATCTTCTATAATAAGCCAAATAAGAAGCTTAATTCATCCACACTACCATCTATAGAATTATGATTATTAGTATTTCAAGGAACATAATTACCAATTTATGCTGCGAATGGTTCTTCTATGTAGCGACAACAAATTCTCTTAGAGGTTTTTAATCGATCCACCATACCGACTTGAAAATAGATTTATGGGCTTCCATGTGACTAATAACTTAAATAAAAAGCAATTGTACATAAACCCTCATGACGTCTTTCCTTATTTTGTGACGAGTGATTTAGAGATAGGATACCACTATGGTAGGATTCATGTTGTTTTTTTCAACCTCATTGAACGCATTGACTACATCAAAGTCGATTACCCCACCAACTAAGGAGAATAGTACCAACCCAAAGATGCCTTGGGCCAGGATCTTCATCCTTTTCAAACCTTCTATTGGATCTTTCAAACTTCACTCTAATGCTTTATGCCAAGTTTCCTAATGCCGACCTTTGATTACGCCCTTTACTAATCCACGAGTCACATTTTCATTCAACCAAGTTTGAACCCTATTGACAACCTCATCATCACGATGATAGAGGTATATTAAATATAGAGAATTTGGCATTTAGAGCATACGGTAAAACACCGGTATAAGGGGTCCCATAACTGGATTAGTGCCTTGATTGCTAACTTTTGAATAAGAATTTCAAGTAAAATAGCCAAATTCTCATATTTAATCTCGAACTTTTATCAATTTATAGATGTAAAGTAGTTCTAACATTATAAAAGCTTTATAGAATCATTGATGATTGCCTGAATATGCATCACATCTTGAAGGTTACTCCGAAGCCCCTCTATTAGACAATCACCTTTTTTTCAACTAATAGGCCTCGTACTCCATCTAATATTCAAAAATCATCTTGAAATGTATGTTAGTCCTTTTATCACTCATCTTGAAACATTGTAACTAAATTGTTTTAGTCAAGGTTTCATTTAAATTTGACATACCCATGACATTTACTAGGTAAGATCCTAGTGTCTAGTTCTAGGTCATTAAGTAAATGGGACATGATCTATCTAAGTCTCAAATAGAATCTCTTCAAACCTAACAAATCATAATAGAATTATTAGGGTAGTTAAAGGTGATGATTGGTAAACATGAAAATCATCGGTTACCTATCTAGCAATAGCAACTAGCAAAAAGAGTTGAGATTTCATGAGTGTTTAATTGGAGCGAAACCCATCGGGACACCATTACTACCTTCTTAAGTCTTAAGGTAAATGTGTGATAAAAATAATAACGTGTAATGTAGTATGTGTATGGGCATTATTCCATATCCAATCTTGAAAGACAAAAAATACAAATACAAATATGAATAATCACATAAATTAAACTATATAAAAAAAGAATAAAAAAGCAAAAGAATAAATACAAGGTAAACAATAGCAAAAGTCATGAATTTAAATAAGGCGAAGTTAATTACACAAATCAACATACGGGCATAAAAATTCATCATATCATCATAAATTAAATTCAAAAATTACATGAAAAGCGTAACCCTAGGTATGAGTCTCCGAGTGGAGTCGTGATTTTGTCGTAGGGCGAAGTAGGGTCGCGGTGACGAGTTTTGGGAAATAAGCAAAAATAAAATGAAGTCACCTTTTAGTATTATGGTTACTAGGAAAACATATGACTGGTTTATTTAAAGTTCTAAATAAGGAGTTTATTACGAGTAGGAAAGATTAAAAATCACCATATCATATCCCGCATAAGGCAAGTTACATTGCATGCAAAGTCGACTCGATTTTTGATTTTTTTATGATGAAAATCTACACCTATTTTTCAAACACTTGCCCATCGGACGAGTGATTCGGGACTTGACCGGTTAGGGACCTCGCCCTTACTTTATAATGAATAGATAGGAAAATGAAATGAAAAGGACATGATGAGTGCATAAGGATATGTGGCTAATGCAACCTAAATGACAAGTATGAAAATAAAACTTAAAATAGACAAAATAGGCAATAAAAAAATAATGGAAAAATAAAAAAAAATAGTTAACAACAGCATATAGGCAATAACAACAAAATAAGTAAAATAGGTAATAATGGCAAAAACGATAAAAAATTGGCAAAAATGACAAAATTGGCAAAATTGGCAAAAACGATAAACGAGATTGATAAAAATGGAAAAATTGGCGAGAAAAATGGCAAAAGAAAATAAAAAATGAAAAAATTAGCAAAATTGGCAAAATCATTAAAATTGGCAAAAACGATTCGAAAACGAGATTCAAATCAACATGACTTTAAATATCATGATTTTTCAAGCAAGTAAATTTGGCAAGTAAAATTGGCATGATAGGTAATGTTGGCATGAACGAGTTAAAATCAAAGTGTGAACCAACATGCCTTAAAAGTCATGAGTTTTTCAAGATGACATTTCAAACAAAATCGAAAAAAGGGTCCAAACGAGAGGTTTGAATCAACATAACGCATACATCATGTTTTTTAAAATAAAACTGACACGATATCAAATTAATCATCATAATTCACAACAACAATATGAAAATGAGGTTCGGATCAAAATAGCTTAAAAATCACACTTTTTAGGCAAATTCAACTCAATATCAATTAATCGTTGTAATGGAAAAAAGAGTGAAAAAAAGAGGTTCGGATCGACGCGATTTAATAATCATATTTTTAAAGATAAATTGACACAATATCAATTAATCATCATGATTAGCAAAAATGGTCCTAAAACGAGCTTCGAACCGATGCGACTCAAAAATCGCATAAGTAACAATAAAAATTACTAGATAACAAGCACATCGACCAAACCATACAACCACAATAGCGAGTCATTTAAAGTCATACAACCACCCAATCATCTAATTAATTTACAAACGTATCAATATAAATTAAATTAAAAAAAGTAAAAAAATAATTTACTTGCTAAAAATGTGAAAAAGATGAATGAATTTGACAATGAAATTAAGGTTAGTTCGACCTTTTTAACTCCGATGGAGATTGATTATTTAGTCAATCGAAAAGATGGCTACTCGTTGTCAAATTTAGATTGGACGACTAAGAGTCGTTGGAATGATGATGGCAGATGTTGGATCAAGTTGGAGGAGTCGCTAGTTTGGACTCGGATCAACCTAGAAGAGCTACTAGTTTGGTGGAGGAGTGACAACTGGTTTGGGCTGGATTGAGCTACTTATTCGATAGAGGAGGAGTAATTGTCGTTGCTTAGACCCGATTAAAGGGTTATTGGTCACCGAGTTGCTATGGATTGAGTGAAGGAGGACGTCTTGAGTAGCTTGGATCTAGTGGAGGAAATAGGACTACTACGATGATAGTAGTGGCTACCGATAGTGTCGTGGCTAATGAAAGGTTGATTGGACGATTGGAAAAGGGGTTCGGACTATTGGATGAAGGGCTATTGGTTCGATTTGGTATGGCTGATCGGAGTTTTTTAATAGTGGATGAGTAGACTAGAATCTAGTTTAGAGAGAGAAAATGGTCTGGAGGGTTTTTGGATGAATTTTAATTTGGTACCTCATCTTACAAACTTTTTTATTTTGGTCTTTTTCTCTTCTTTTTTTCAATTGCATCCCTCGATTGTACTTTTTCGATCCCTTTTCTTTCTTTTTGTATTTTTTATTTTTTATTTTTATTTTTTACAAAAACATGGGTGCTAACAAGCACTAAGTTTATCAACTATTTTTTGGATACTTAACTTTTCAATGATTCTTTAAGGATAGTAGGTATTTTCAAAGAGTCAAATTAGTCTTTAAAAAGATTTGAACAATAAATTAAAAGAAACTAAAAGACGTGGGAGTTTCACTGCTTTTAAACTATTCACTCTCACCTATTAGCATTATCGATCGAAATGTTTTTTTTTTTTTTTTGCCTTTATGTTATAAGCGACCTCTCTTTTGTTTTTAATTACTATCATCTGCCACTCGATGGATTTGAAAATCCACGATTGCCATTGATCGAGTTTCATTTTAATTTTCTTCTTTAACCTTTTTTCATCATTTCACTTTTTTTCTTTTCTTGTGCATTATAAATGGTCTTCTCTATCACTCTTAATTACACTTATTATCACTTAGTGAATTTTTAAAAACTCATAATTACCCTTAACCGACTCTTTTTTTTTATTTCTTTTTTAGCTCTTTTTCATCAATTCACTTGCATTTCGATAGAGCATTTAATGCCGCTATCATTGCCTTTTTTCTTGCTTATTTCATAGAAATGAGTAAATTATCATTCTAGAATAAATCATCGATTAGTCCCTTTTTCTAAGTAAAACAAATTAATTAGTCCATCCGATTTCAAAAACTAATATTTTTGTCCTTTTTTCTACTTTTCAATTTTTTTTTTACCTTTGTTTTAAGAAATAGAAAAGAAAAAAACGGATAAAAATATGAAAAAGATTGATGAGAAAAAAATTTAAAAATAAGAAAACAAAAATGTTAGTTTTTGAAATTAAATGGGCTAATTAATTTGTCCTAAGAAAAAGAGGCTAATTTATAATTTACTCTAGAATAGCAATTTACTCATTCCTACGAAATAAGGAAGGAAAAAAAAAAGAGACAATGCTACTCGTCCTACGAAATCATATGGACTAATTTTTTTTCTTTTTGTTTTAAGAAATAGAATAGAAAAAAATAGATAAAAATATGAAAAAGATTGATGGGAAAAGAAAACATTTTAAAAAATTAAAAAATAAATTAATCATGGTTAATACTTGGTTAAAAAATTATTTTTTAAAATCAAAAGAACTAATTAATTCATTTCTTAAAGCAAGAAAGACTAATTTATAATTTATCTATCGCTATTTTTGCATCAACTACATAAAATAGTACAAGTAATATATACTTTGCAACAACAACAAGATGTTACAATTAATAAATATATCTATTGTAGTTAATAATTTTATATTTTGTTGGATTGCGAACAAAATATACATGTATAATAACCAAGAGTAAGGATCCATTTAATTTGTATTGTTGTTGTGTAGGTGAGGAATTCTTGAATAAGTGTGCCCTTGATCGAACTATGAATGGACATCTAACTTGCATTGTAATTAATTATTGATACTATTTAGTTTAGAATTAATTTTTCATTTTTTATAGTGGTTGCAAATTCAATATGTCTTAATAATACTTTTTTTCTTCTACTATTTTAACTATTAGCTATTAATTATTAAAATCGATTTTTGACTCGCCTAATAAATGATTATGGGTTGTAGAGTTTTATTAATTAAAACACTCAAAAAAGAATATTAATTGATAACACCCCATTGCACTACTCACTCGTCACTAAATTCTAATATTTATTTTCACTTGTTTATTAGTATTTTTGCACTTAATCTCTCAAGTTTTTAGTAAAAACAAAAATGGTCCCAAACTTTATTTATATTGCCATATGGTCCTTGAATGCTTATAGGAGACATAAGAGAGGAGAGGGTGAGAAAAGTGAGGAATACAATTTGTTCACCACATCTATTGTTGATATTACCACTAATTTGTTCATCGTGAAGAATACAATTTGTTACTGGTTATTAGAAGTCATGAAATGGCTTGAAGAAGTAGATCATGATCCGAAAATATTTTAAGTTTTTTTAGTTTAATTTGAATTTTTATGTGTTTTATGTGCATTAAAATATATTTTGAGACTCTAAAATAGTTTTTTGACATTATTTTTGTGATCGTAAGTTATTTTTTAGAAAAAAAATAAAAGATTGAATTTGGCTTTGCGGAAGCCGAAACCAAAAACACAATATTCCGACAACGTTTTCATTGAACACTAGCTTGCTAGAAATTGTAGTGGTTTTTTTTTAAAAAAATCTTTCCTTATAGAGTTTGCTACTCTATGACTAGGCACACTGGATCGGTTTTAGTTGGACATCTTTTTTTCAATTTTTCCTAAATATTTTTATACAAATATTTTGGAATATCGAACATCGTTTTTTTTTACGTCGCGATCGACGAGAAATAAATATATATGATATGTTTTTTTTATATATTTTAAAATAAACATTTATTTCTATATTTCTTATAGAGATTTTCATCCAATAAATTTTTATTTTAAAATTTTATTTTGTTTAAATAATAATTATTGTTCTCTATGTATGGATTTTAAATAAATTTTTAAAATGTGATTATTTTATTTTAAAAAATAAATTCATATAATTTAGATGATGAACTCTCAAAATTTTTAAATGATAGTAACATATATATATTTAAAAAATTCGGAGAATTTGTATTAGATTTTTTGAAAAAAATAATTTACAAAATAAATTTTTAATTAAAAATTCATGGAGTTTTAGATTTTGTTTTTAGGTTATTACAAGTTTTTAGTTAAGAAACAAATAAATATGTTTTTTTTTACAAAAACAAAATGAATAATATAATGAATAATTTGTTAAACGTAAAATTTTAATAAAAATAATAAAATTGAATAATTTTTTTTAATCTATGTTTCAATATATTTTGGTTGATTCATAGTTTAGAGAAAATCTTCAAACTAAAATAATTTTACATGTTATATTCGATCCCCGAGTGTAGCGCAAGTGAAAACCTAGTTAACATCTAAACTAAAAACTTGATGATGCAATAATTGTGTCAAATGTAAGCATGTTCAAGATACACCAATATAAATACCTTGAAATTAACTTGAATGATGCGATACCTATAAGAACACAACTTAAGGCAATAATTGATACAAGATTAATGGTTTGGTTAATAAAAATTTGAAATAATGAAAACCCTCGGGCCAACTTTTGTAAGATTGTTAGAGATAAGGCTTAATTTTGATTGACGTACTAGCCAATTCGAGAATACTAGTATTGTCAAGTAATAAAAAATAATAATTATGCCACATCCAAATTTAATGATATATTTTAGAACTCTTATTTTTTAAGATGGAGTTTTAGAACTTATGCTTAATTGGTGATTATTGCAATAGTTTTTATGCATTATCTACTATGTCATAATTATTAATTACTTTTTTAATCATTTTACTAAACATATATCCTATCGACATATTTATATAAATCTATTTTTTCTTATTTTTAGAGCTTATATTCAACCTCGTCTGTTTTATTCAAGGGTTTAAATATAACAATACAAAAATTAATGTATTAATGAAATATGTGGTATCTATTATAAAGAAAAATGAAAAGAAAACGAAAGAAAAGTCTTGGAGAAAGACAATTATTATCCTACTAATATTTAAATGTTTTCCTTTTTTAAAAAACGATGAAGAAAAAGAATATTAATAGTTACTTCATCACATAGGAAGCTCATAAGACTTTAGTAACATAATCTATAAGAGACATATTTATTATCTTTGACAATAATTTACGTTCTCTAAAGTAGTTTACAAGTACAAACATGCAATAAAATATTACTATTTTTCATTCAATAAAATAATATTAACATATTTAATAACTTTTTGATAATTTACTTATAATGCGATTTTTTATATAATTAATTTGATAAATTTAATTCAATTATCTAATAAATATGTACTTTAGAAAAATAATATATAGATTTTTATGCAACATAAAATAATATTGCATAGGCCAAAATTACCAGTGTTGGATTATTTTTAATAAAATATTAAAAAGTACAAGTTACTAGTTGAAATAGTAACATGTATCATTTGCATAAAAAAAAAATGTTTTGAAATAGCCGCATAACAATTTTGGACATTAAAATGAAAGTTTATATTTTTTATATTTAAAAGTATATATATTTGATTTTATATTTTTGCATTCAATTTCAAATGACTCTATTTTGTTTTTTTTAGCTATATGTGTGGGTGCTCTTGCCATTATTTGATAACACGACAACAACAATTCTTACTTTGTGTAGAGAAAAAAATAGCACCATTTTTTTCTCTTACTTTTTTTAAAGAGAAAATATTTCTTCAAATTTTATTTTCTATTGTCTCCCACTAAAAAAAAAAAACATATTACTTTTATTAGTTCTATCTTTGGATAAAAGTGATACTTTTATTGTTAAGACACATCAAGATGATTGAACTTATTGTATCTTTGAGACGACATATAAAATATACTTAATCTATTGTATTAGATAAATTCTATGAATTATGTGTATTGTCTCAAAAAAAAAAAAAAAAAAACCAATTAGATTATATCTTAAAACGAGTCACTTAAAAGCATTAGTAAAATTATTTTGATAGTTCAATCATCTTTATGCCATAAAATATGGTAACATGATTTTAAATCCTAAATTTTTTTATGATATAGGTAAAAAGTTTCAATTCTTTATTCATCTTAAAATTTTTTAGCACCCAATTTTTGCTACTATTATTATATTTTCTATTTTATTGCAAGAATACAAAAAATGATAAACAAAAAAAAATGCCAAAGAAAAGGAGAAAAGAAAATGCAAATGAAAAAAATAATTAGAGTAATTAGTTTAGATTAGTTCTAGAAAGGGAGCTAATTAAAAAAAA